GTGGGCCATATACACTCTCCTGGTTTTGCTTTGTTTACAAACCTTCAAAAACATAAAACTATTCTTAGCTCATAGGCCACACGAAAAGCAGGCCAAGGGTTTGCTGAGACTTGCAGACATGTTATTATCAATCTGATGGGTAAAACAGTGGTATCCTAATATAATTTTATTTGTGTTTCTCTTACCAACAAAGACTGAGCATCTTTAGAGCCATTCGTATTTCTTTTTCTGTTACTATTCATGTTTTTTGCCCATTTTCCTATAGTTGCTGATCTTATTTATGGTAATTTTTTATATAGGGAAATTATCTCTAACCTTTGAAATGAATTGTAAAATATACTACAGTATATATATATATATATATATATATATATATATATATATATATATTTGGATCTATTTCTGTATGTTCTGTTCCATTGACCTATTAGACAAGCTTGCTTTTCTAGATAAATCAGCTGTGTGATCATATTTCATTGAGGAACTGTAGGTACAGTTAATAAAGAAATACCAAGTGTGTCTGCATCCTGCACCGATGCCCTGTTCTTGGCTTGAGCTCACCTCCTATTACAAAGAAAGAGAAGTCCCCATCTTGTGTGCCCTGGTCTCCACTCCTCTGGGTCCAGTCTAGAGGCACTTGGCCGTTAAAGGCAGCCTCTCTTCTTCATCGTTGATTTCTGCTTCTTTTAGATGCTTATTGCATAAACATCTCTTATTAATAACTAAAAAGCAGCCAAACTAAAGACCTTGTCCATCGATGGCCCATAGAAGTCCATTTCTGTGCCTCCTGTTTTCTCCCTAGCCCGCCCCACTCAGGCTGTGGTTCCTACCTCACTGGTGAAAGGACTCTTCTCAAAGACATTAGCAGTCTCCATCTGACCAAACCCAGTCATCAGTTCCCTGTTCCTCTCTTACCTCATCATAGCTCGTCTCATTCTCTCAGCAGGATCTGACCGTTAACCAACTTTTATGACTGTGATCGCTCGAGTTCCTCCTCCTGAACCAGACTGTTGAGTTGTCTCAGGCATCTGTCTTCTGCTGCCTTCTGTATCCATCTTCATCTTACCCCCCAAGGAGCTCATCAGTTCTGTGGCTTTAAATACCACCTGTAAGCCGACATTCACATTTTGCCTCCGTCTCTGCCCTTCACCCCTGCGCTCCAGACTAGAAGATCCAGTTTCCTATTCAGCAACTCCAGTTGGAGATCTCAGGCACAAGCAGAACCTCCCTGGGCCTGTTCCTTCCACATCTCTCTCTGTCTTAGGTAGTGGTACCACCAGCATTCAGATATTTTTAGAAATGACTCTTGTTTTTCCCATGTTAGTCAATCAAGTCCTGTCGACTGTTTCTCCAAAAGTATCCCAACTGGCATAGAGGAGAGCTAAGCTGCCTAAGTTTGAATCCTGGCTCAGCCTTGAGCAAGTCATCTTCTCTGACCCAGGTTCCTCACCTTTTAAATAAAGTTAAAGTAGTACACATTTCCTAGGACTGTTCATACAGGAAATGTGGTGCCCTCCTAAGTTAATATGCATGAGGTTCTCAGAGCAGTGCCTGGCACTTAGGACTCGGTAAAGGCTTGTTGCCATCCTGGCATAGATGGTAGTGGTAGTTATACCAGTACTAGTGCCATGTCTGCTGCTGCTGCTGCCGCCACCGCCACCACCACCCAAATCTCTCCTCTCCTGCAGGGACGGTGGGATAGCCTGTGCTTTCAATTCTTGCATTTCTAGCATCCAATCACATACCAGCCGGGGTAATCTTCTTAAAAATATAAATGAAATTATGCCACTGCCCTGCTTTGAAACCCTCCAGAGGCTTCCCATTACAATTACAAGAAAACCCAAACTCCTTTCCAACAGCCTTCAAGGCCTTTTGTGATTTGGCCTTGCCCACCTCTCAGTCTCATCTCCTGTTCACTCCCAGGGCTCCATCCACTCCGCCTCTGCTCCCAGTAACATGCCAGACCCTCTCCCATCGGAGGTCTCTGCAACTGTTAGTTCCCGTGTCTGAAATGCTTTCTCAGAGCTGGCTGGGTCCTTCATGAAACTCTGTTCTTAGCTCAGACGCTCACTCTTCAAAGGACTCATCCTTGACCCTCCCCCCACTCTTTATTCCAGTGCCCCCTTATTTTCTTTGTTGCACTTAGCATGACAAATGGAAGTTCCTTACTTACATGTGTGTCTGAAGTTCCGGGTAGGCAGGGGCTTTGGCTTGTTATCATCAAAATGGCACCTAGACTAGTGGTTGGGAGCTCACCTGTGGAATGCCACAGTTTTGAAATGGGAGGAGGGGAGTACGTCCTTGATGGGAGCTGCTTTTCCTGGATAGCCCCTTGAAAGTATGGGATGTGCAGCTCATAGTTATTAGGGAATAATTGCACTTTGGAAAAATGTTTTGGGGGCTTCTGCCTTTTCATAGACTATAGTTTACAAGTACATTGTTCTGGAAGGAAAGATGTTTTAACCCAGTTGGTGTAACTGCTAAATGTTTTGCTCACCACACAAACACGCACACACCACCTCTTAGAGTATTAATTGATATGGCAACACCCTGAGCTCATGTGGCACTTACTATTAATATTTCAGAAATAAAACAGTAATTATGTAGCAGTGAAATGATTACAGCTGCCCAGTAAGGATCATAATTAGTGACAAAGAAGTTATTTCCTGATTTATTTAGACACACCAGCAACAGCATACTTGATAAACTTGCTTAGACTGGGTGTCTTTCAGACTTCTAGTTCTTGTCTGACATACACTATTTCTACTGTTCTGAGCAGTGCTGGTCATTCAGAAGCTAATAATCATGTCCTTGGTACCCAGGAAAGAGGGACTCAGCCCTTGTCTGTTGAGTTGAATTGAATTGAATGGAACTTCTATCCCCCAAATGTGGATTCTTTACCATACATTCTACAGTTCAAGCTGCTTCTGCTAAAATGCTTATGATAGAAGAACAGGATCAGAAATTGCATATACAGGGTAGCTGGATGGCTCAACTGGTGAGAGCATGTGCTCCTAACAACAAGGTTGCCAGTGACTCCCGCATGGGATGATGGGCTGCACTCCCCCCCCAACTAAGATTGAACACAGCACCTTGAGCTGAGCTGCCAATCTGCGGCCGGTTGGCTCAGTTGGCTAGAGCGCATGATCTTTTAACAACAAGGTTGCCAGTTTGACTCCCGCATGGGATGGTGGGCTGCACCCCCCACAGCTAGATTGAAAACAGCGACTGGTCTTGGAGCTGAGCTGCGCTTTCCACAACTAAGATTGAAGGACAACAACCTGACTTGGAGCTGATGGATCCTGGGGAAAAAACACTGTTCCCCAATAAAATTAAAAAGAAAACAAAAAACCATAATTAGAAGCTTAAAAAAAAATGAAGGCAAATACACATTAAAAAAAATTTGCATATACAGTGTGATTTCAGTTATGCTCCATGTAGATTAAAAGCAGTCTCAAAAGAAGTATGTTAACGTATTTAACATGTTCATGTTGTTAAATGGATAGCAGATTGTGGAGTCTGTTTCCTAATGTTTTCCTGAATTGAGAAGTAGGCACATGGGCATGATTTCTGGGTGCAGACTGAAGCAGTGCCCAGCTTGTGACTGAGTCTCCAGTAGCAATAGCTGCTTTACACCAGTCTAGTCTAAAGCACAAGGTTAAGTCAGACTTCGAGCATTTGTTTGTTCATTCAGCACATAGGAACAGAATGGCTGATTTTGCCAAGTCATGTTAGTACATTAAGCATAAAGTAAACCAAATAGACATGGCCCCTTCACTCCAGACACTTCTGGTATATTAGGGAAGAAGACATGTTAAACAACTAACACACTCAAGTAATTTCAACTTGATAATGGTTATGAAGGAAAAGTATCAGATACTATAATGAAGAGCACAGGACAGGGGAGAATGTAATTTAGGCTCAGAGTTTGAAGTAAGGCTGAGACCCCAAAACTGAGAGGAGTTAGGCAGCTGGAACAAGAATATGCCAAATGGAGGAAACTGCGTGGCCAAGGCCAGGAGGGGGAGAACAGAAGGAGACCAGGGTGGGTCTAATACAGCCACGCTGGGAGAGGTTGGCACAGGATCGGGAGGGAGGGAGGTAGGATGAGGTGTAGTCCGTGACCAAAGCAAGTCAGAGGCTGAGAACGAAGGGTGCAACCACTGGGGTTCTCCAGTGACAGAGTCTCCTTGCTTGGGCCTCACACAGACTCAGTGTTTGTTGCGACCCGCTGGCCTCCTTTTCTAATGCCTGGAACCATGGCCAAAGGTAACTGGGTGCCTTTAGTGCCCCTCACCACTGCAGCTTCTGGAGAATGCTGGGCTTTCCACACTGAGCACCGAAGTGTGGTAAACATGACACACAGTCCAGAGAAGGGGAGGGCACCTGAGATCAGGACCTCGGATGTTTGTTTATCAGCCATCCATCCCAAGGCACTCAGATGCTCATGTAATAGACGCTTGGGAATTGGGGTAGCCGGTGTTGGGTTCTATTGATAATCCTACCACCAAGTTGTTCGGATGCGGTGTCTTCTTTTATAAATTGGCAGTTAGTAAGCCTTTCAGTTGGCGTTCTTTTTTGAGGGTAAGTTTTTCTTACTGAAATTAGAAGACATACCTCTTTATTGCTAGTGCCAGTAAAGGTCATTATGAAAACAAAGTGATCGTTTAACCTGTTTTCATAATGTGATTATATTCTCATACAACTATACTCCATTATTATCAGCACATGGTTGCAATGGGAAATTTTCACTTTTGGTCACAGCTCATTACTGGAAACTGTTAGAAGAGAAATGCCCTTGAGTCATATACTTGTTTTATTGCCATGTGTTCTGTGATAAGCAGTTCTTACCCTAAATGAGCGTACTTCATTTGCCATCTGTTAAAATCACTGCAGAATGAAAACTAGTATCTTGAAGCCTGAGGACATATCTGTCTTTCCTACACTGAAATTCTGAAGAAGAATGTACTGACGATTACTTATTCTCTCATTCTTTTTAGATTCTTCTTAATCCTTTGGTGAAAACTCTGTCACAAGATGGCTACAAATAAGCCCAAGGGTCAGAATTCTCTGGCCTTACACAAAGTCATCATGGTGGGCAGCGGTGGTGTAGGCAAGTCAGCTCTGACCCTGCAGTTCATGTATGATGAGGTAAGTGCTGGCTTTCATGATGGACTGCGCAGCTAGGGCTTTCAGAAAGGAAGTCTGTAGCTTAGCTTTGGCGCTCTTTTGGATGGATTCCTTGAACCCTTGAAAGCTATTAATCATTTTTTTCCTCCATTGTAAAATTCAGAGCCAACATTTATACACAACTTGATTTAACAAGTCAAGAGCCCAAGGTTCATAAAATCTTAAGCTTTACAATACAAAACAAAACTGAAAACAGTACCTATTTCTGAGAAATCTAACTTCTGCTTTTTTATTTTAGTGTTTTAATGGCAATTATTCTCACCTTGAATTAATAGAACTGGTGGATATAGTACCTAATTGAGACTTGAGGTTAACATACATAAGGTATCCTTAATAACTTCAGTGAAAATCTTACTTATTGTGTATTTGGCATGGCACTACATTCACCATTAAACAGGTAGCGGCTATATCCCTGAAATAAAATGACCAGACAGGTTATCATATTTGTGTGCATGTATTTATGTCAGACTTTATTGACCCAGATTCTCTCCCTTGAGGACTGTTACCAAGTCTAACTGATTTACAAGTCGGTCATCTAATTTGAGCATTTATCTCAGCTCGTCCTCCCAATAGAAGCGATGTTTTATGATTACTCTTTCTTACCTAATCCTCGTAACAGTCTTGCATGGTAGGTGGTGGTATCCCCATTTTACAGATGGGAAAACAAACCCTCAGAGAGGTTACCCAACCTGTGTGCCCTCCTCTTGTGGTTCAACCTCGATTGCTGTTGGCACATCAGTGGGTTGGGTTAACCCTAAGGCTGACTGGCTGTGAGGACTGTCTGACTACAGCGGATGAGCTGTTCTGTGGGAGCTGTCCCCATCAAGCAGGATTCACTTCAGCAGGGCTGTGGTGCCAGCTGTGTCTGCCCTTCATGTATGTCATTTATGAAGCTAGTTGGGTGATGTTTTGGTGTGATCTTAAGCCAGCTCCCAGGTGTGTTGGTTCTGGAACCTATTGGAAGGTGCTTTGGTGCAGGCCAAGGTCAGCCACTGCTTGTGCCATTCTTGGGGCCGCTTGGTAAGAGGCACAAAGTGATCTGCAGATGGTTACCACTCGTGCTGGACTTCAAGGTGCCTGGGAGAGACTACTCTGTGAACCAAGGCCAGCTGCAACTTGTACCAGGCTTGTGACCCTTTGGTTGGCACCACAGTGTGCACTGAGGCCAGGCACCACTTTTGCCGGGTTCATGGCTGGTTTGTTGACACTATGTTCCAGGTCTAGACTGGCTGCTGTTTTTGCTGGGCTTCGGGCCACTTAGCAAGAGCTACAAGGTACACCAAGGTCAGCTGCCACTTGTTTGGGTTTTGTGGGTTTTTGAGAGATGTGGGAAAGTCTGCAGCATGAACCAAGGCAGGCTGCTTATGTGAAGGAGCTGCTGGAAGTGGCTTGGGTCAGTCAGGTGAGTTGGGTGGGGCGGGTTCTCAGGGAATCACCAGGGTGAGGTGAGCAGTGTTAGCCAAGTTAATGGAGAGCACAGATTTGACTCCTGCCTGCACCTGGCCAGCTCGGTGGGAGGGGAGTTCAACAAAGGAGCAATGGCGCCTCCCAGCACTTCTCTCCCCAGAGAGAATTGCCCTAACCCCTGCCCCTCCAGCCCTCATCCTACAGTTAGTCAATTTAGTTTCTCTCTGTATGTCCCTGGTGCTTCTCAAGCTGCTGCCCGTGCATTCGAGCTTAGAGCGAGTGAGTTTGTGAATGAGTCTGTGTGCGAGCCCCTTAAGAGTTTTGCCTCAGTCTCCAGCAGTCCCCTGTCCCCAAACACAATTCCTGATGGTTTTCACAGCCAAATATTTGGGAACTTTTCTTCTTGGCACTGGTGCCCCGGGCTGGGGAGCCTAGTGTGGGCTGGAACCCTTGCTCCTTGGGGAACCCTCCACAGCCGAGATATCCCTCCCGATTCTTAATTGCCACATATGGTTGTGGGACCAGCCCATTCTGCATCTCCAGTCTTCCTACCAGTCTCGACGTGGCTTCTTCTGTTTGTCCTTAGTTATAGGAATTGTGTTCAGCTAGTCTTCAGGTGGTTCTCAATGATGGCTGTTCTGTAGTTTAGTTGTAATTTTGGTGTGGTTGTGGGTGGAGGCAAGCACAGAGTTTACCTATTCCGCCATCTTGACCAGAACCTAGGTATTCTTTTTTCAAAGTAATCCTTAAATCAGTCTCCTTCTTGACAGTAAGGAGGTCAGAAATAAGAATATTCACATGCCTGACATTTGATAAATGCTTAAGCCTTCATTTATTATTCATAAATATTTAATATTCATACTATCTGATATATCTGAATATTTCTATTCATTAGAATATTCCTACATGTTCATAAGTATTAAATATTTGTAAACTATTAGCATGTAAATATTGTAGAATGGTCTGTAGCTTTTACAGTTAAAAATATACTGTGTGTTTTTTTAGAAATAATTATTTATTGAGTGTCTGCCATGTACCAGGCACTATTACAGGCTTTGGAGATATAGTGATGAGTTCAACAGTCAGGGTCCCTGCCTCCAGGGGTTAAATTCTAGCAGGAGGATATAGATATTGAGCAAATCAATAAGAAAATATTAGAAAAGATATTTATAAGAAACTAATAAAAACCCCACAAAAGTGTGTGTATATACATACACACACGCTAACATTAATACACTGATCAAAATATCAAGGTGAGATTTATGAGGTTGAAAACAGAAGTGGGAATGTAAAGTTGTTTAATTGTACTATTTAAAAAATCAGAAGCTTGGGCCGGCCGAGTGGCATGTTGATTAAGGGCGCCAGCTCTGAGCAGTAGAGCCCCAGTTCGGATCCCACATGAGGGCCAGTGACGCTGCGCCCTCTACAGCTAAGATGCTGAACAACAGCTCGACCTGGAGCTGGGCTGCCATGAGTCCCTGGCAATGGCGTAGGTTGCAGTGAAGCTGCAGTGGGCTCCCGTGAGCGGCTGCCAGCCAGCGTGAGCTGCCAAGAGCCGCCGTGAGCGGCCGTCCAGTGGCCAGCGACCAATCTGCCTCACCCAGGAAGAGCAACATGGGCCAGTGAAGCAACGTCCTCCACAACTAGACTGAAGAACAAAAGGACAGCAACTTGTGTGTTCCCCTTCCCCGATTCCCCAACGCTGTTCCCCTCCCCCAATTCCCCAATAAAATCTTTTTTAAAAAAATCAGAAGCTTGAGGAGAAATCTCAAAGTTCAAGATTTGACCTTCTGCAGAGTAGTATAAGCCACTTTATTGACTTTGTTCTTTTTGGAGAAAGAAAAGATTTAATGATACTTTCAATGCGTACCTAAATATGGACTTACTTTCAAGATATGTCCACAATTCTGGCATGAAAATTTATATTGAGAGTCACAAAGAAAAGGGTTCTTAACGCACTTTGATAAAGTATAGGCAGACCTCGTTTCACCACGCAGCACCAGTGGTGCATTTTTTACAAATTGAAGACAAGATCCTCTAGCAGCAAAAAGATTGTGATTCGCTTATTGTGTTACTTTATTTTGGTAGTCTGGAACTGAACCTGCAATATTTCCAAGGTATGCCTGTATATTTGTAATAGTTTTTGCAGGTATAGTGTTTAAAGGACAAAAAAAGGGACAGATTTCAAGTTGTAAA